GGCTGAAAGGTGCGGATGGAAACCGAGCGGCGACACGTGGGCCAAGTGAAGGGAGCACAGACTCAGGGCTCAGAAAAAACAAGAGCTCCCCGCACTTGGTTGCTGCAGCCTCCACCTGACCCGCATCACTCTTCAGGGTCTGCAGTGAGATGGAAAGGAAAGACCACCCCTTACTTCCCGTACACATGCTGCGAGTCTCAACTTTAGCAAAACCCCAAATGCAACCCCGGGCCTCCATAACCCCTAACCACACCTAAAAGTCAATTACATAAAGCTTCCTCGTTCACTCTCGACAAGTGGCGTTTCTGGAAACTCTGGGACCTCAAGGCCTGTAACGTTGTTTGCCGTGGACTCATGGTTTGCACGAAGCCAGGATGAAGTAAGCGACATGGTAGAAATAACGTCAACGTGCACAGCTACGGAGCACAGCACCTCGGGCCAAAAAACCCAACCGTGAAAGAGACAGAACCGAAGGGAAGATTCCGACACTGAGCTTTCTCGACTGGCGGAGATGGCATTTCAAAAGACCAATGATAGAGTTATTTATCTGTAAACAGTCTAGACAGAATACCTCCGCGTACGGTTGGTTTTGACAGCTGCCCTTTAATTCTTTTTTAAAAAAATAATTTTTATGTTATAGCACAACTGACAAATAAAAATCATATGTATTTATGGAGTCTATGTGATGTTTTCATATACTTAGATATTGTGAAATGGGAAAGTCACGCCACTCATTACCTCATATACTCTACTGAAGACAATTATTTGATAACAGAGCATGTATAAAGCTCAAAAAGAAAATAATTTAACGTAGAAAATAATGAAACTTGTTCAAAGTCACACAGTTCTCGGAGACTATCAGAATAAGCAAACCCAAGCCACGAAGACAATCCCCTCCTTTACTGAAGCGAAATGCACGCGCTTACTCAGGATCTCCAGACCAGCAGTTGGAGCAAATTAAAACCTTATTTCTGAAACTTACATTTTAAAAATGTAAGTTGGGTCAAAGAACCGCTGCTGTGGACAAAATGGTGGTATTTAAAGCAAAAATTTGGCTTATGCCAAAAAAAAAAAAAAAAAGGCCACAATGATGCACGCTGGTGGCAGGCAGAGTGGGCTGCCCGGCCAGTTGTGTCTAACAGTTGTGCTCGAAACAACAAATGGTGCATTCATAAACTCCGAGAGCAGAGGCTGGTAAGAAGCTGTAAAGTCTGCACCCGAAATGATGAGTGGCTGACTTTCTTGTTGTTCCACAGGGAAGACGTGGAAAAAAAAAAGGCCTGAATTCAGTTATAGAGGCGCGGGCTGTCGCTTCAGCTGCAGCAAAACGGCCCAGATAAAGAGGCCCCAAGTACCACCAAGCCTCTTCTCACAGGAGCTGGGCCCAGTGATAATGCAGTCAACGCTTCTACACGAGATAATACTGCAAGAGCTCCAGTGGGGAGGGCAGAGCCGAACCCAGAAAGTGCACCCTCCCCCAGTTTTTAGTTGAAAGAAAATATTGGACTCCCATAACTTCCAAGGGATTAAACATCAGCAGCCTGATTACCTGCCTCTCCATGCCCTTTCTTTTAAGATTTATTTGAGAGGCAGTTACAGAGAGAGGAGAGGGAGAGAGGTCTTCCATCTGCTGGTTCATTCCCCAGATGGCTGCAACGACCAAGGCTGGGCAGATCGGAAGCTGGGAGCTTCTTCCGGGTCTCCCACGTGGGTGCAGGGGCCCAAGCACATGGACCATCTTCCACTGCTTTCCCAGGCCACGGCAGACAGCTGGATGGGAAGGGAAGCAGCCAGGGCTCAATCCAGTGCTCTTTATGGGATGTCGGAGCGCCAGGCGGAAGCTTAATCTACTATGCCACAGCCCCGGCCCCATCTCCGTGCCCTTTAACAAAAGAAACACCTGGTACCAGCTGTTCAGTACCCCTGACAACTCTGTCAGAACTCCAACTTCTTAAAATATTAATAGGTGACAATCACACCTCCCAGCGCTCATGGCCTATCAGGGTCCTAGCACAGGGCTCACTCAGGGAACCCGGGTTTGCAGCAAGCAAGCATCCGAGGGAAGAATTCAGTGGCTCGTAGAGAACTCCCCAACCCTGCGGGCAGTACTTTGCAAAAAGAACCCCAGTGGTTCCCAGGTATTCGCTCCTCTCATCACAAGCTTCCAAGCAGGGTGAAATGTGCCTGCTTCTAACACAGGTTTGAACTCTCTATTAGGGTTGTGTGTTAGAAGCACCTGAAAGCTGCGTCCACCGGCAGTGCCCAGCCTTAACCCAGACCTGCCATCTCCTGGACTAGGGGCCTGGCATGAGTAATACGAAGTCCCCCCACTCCCGGAGAAGGATCACCGTGGTGAGAGGCACAGCCACCAAAGGCAGCGCGCAGCAAGAATGAGCTAAGTGCCCCAGGGCAGAGGCCAGGCCACTCAAAGAGGCCCCTGAAACCCTGCTAGGACAGGACGGGAGGAGACGGCCAGGCCCCCGGGCTCTGCCCGAGTCACATGGCTGCAGAGAGAGGTGCCAGCTCCCAGGGCGCCGCCTGCCCACACGGACGCTCAGGGCCAGGCAGGCGGCCTTTGGCCATCAGTCGCGGTGCTCCTGGACAAACACCTGTTGTCCTCACTGCAGAGGTACTGCAAGTACAGAACGTCAAGAAACCGCGTTCGGGACGGGCCGTCGTTATCCGCCGGCAGCACGCGAGGTTCCGGGAGTGCAGCGGGCCGCTCAGGACGCAGAACCTGCAGCCCCGGGGCTGGTGGGGTGCAGGGAGGCCCTGCGCCGCCTTCTCAGAAGGGGGCTCATCTAGAAACCAGAAGGCAGCTGCGGGGTGCATGCGGAACGGCCAGGAGCGCCCCCCAGCCGGAGCCCCCAGCAGCCGCCCCTCCCTCCTCCAGGGCTTTGTCCAGCACCAGCTACGGGCCGTTTCCACTCCTAAATAGCCATCGGGGAAACCGAACGTGTTAACGGAAACTAAATAACCTCAAATTAGCCCCAAAAAACGGGGTGAGGGCGGAGGAGTGGGGGGGGGGGCTTGCTCAGAGTATGGTTTTTCAAATCTCTAAGAAAAATTGAGGTGTCTTTGTTGTTGTTAAGTTCAGTGGCTAAACCGGCTCTTGGAAGAGTGTGGGTTGTTCATCAAGTGGCTACGCCGCCGCCAGCAGCGGCCGAGCCGAGCGCGTCAAGGTCTACTGACAGGACCCCGGCAGGGAGGGAGGCCGGCCGCGAGCGCCGCCAAGCCCCGCCCCCTCCGCCGGCCAATCGGCACCCGCCACCCTGACTGACGGCCCCGCTGCCCGCTCACCGGGCGCGCACGCGGGAGCCGAGGCGGGGCGGGCAGCCCGAGGGGGCCCGGCCACCACCGCCGCCGCCGCCGCCGCGCCCCGCAGCCGGGTCAGGCCGGCCGCCCGCACTCGGCCGCCCGCACGCTCGCTCGGCTGAGGAGGGCGCCGAGAGGCCCTGGAAGGCGCCGGGACGGCTCGAGCGCCTGCAGCGGCTCGAACTCGCTGCTGCTCGGACTGCCAGCCAGGGGCAAATGGCTGCCCGGGCCGAGGCGGGATCCGGGGGAGGGCCGTGTTCCTCACGAGAGCGGGCGGCGGACACAGCTCCGGCCCGAGGCTCCGGGGTCGTGGAGCGTCGCGACCCCCGGCTGGCGGACCCGGCCCCGCGGCGAGCGTCCGTCAGGTCGGGGCTGAAGAGGAGGGCCGCCGCCTGAGGAGCCCTCCTCGGGGCAGGCCCGGAGCCCAGCCTGCAGCCGGGCAGAAGAGGACCGTGTCCGCGGTCAGCGAGGTTCAGAAGGCGCCTGGCCTTTCCGCCAGACACGGGCAGGCGTCACGTTCCCGGAGTGGACGGTCCGGAGCGCTGGGAGTGGAGCGGCCGATTTGTCAGAGGGCGACCCCAGTCATTTCTGAGACATGCGAGGAGAAAACTAATAAAGGAAATCCCTACGACAGTGCGAAGGGACTACAGAATCCCCATCGTGTTTATAGGCTACATTTTTTTTTCTCTGAGAACCCTTCATTTTCCTAAAAGGCAGCTCTGAATAAAACTGAGATTTTTTTTTTATCTTTCAATGACAGTAGGGGGGGGGGGTAGCCGTGCCACTCTGAGCAAATCTGTTTTAGTCCTGGAACCTACAACTGTTGGACAAAGTAGCCCTGTGGCAGGCGACAGAAAAGGAACGGTTTGCACTGTGAAAGTGGATGTCTTTCTCCTAAATTCTCACGTATTTTTAAAAATTCGACATCTAGGTGACCTTGGACTCTCTCATTTTCATGTGTGTCTTGCAGTCCACTCTCTTTGCTAACCATTCAGCACACTGCAAGCCCTGATAAAAGTAGTTAATGTTTACTGAAACCTGCACATGAACTGTGCTAAGCCCGATAGGAGTGAAAAGGCAAAGTTCTGTTAACAGCATCCATGTACAATAAAAGAAAAAAAAAAGGGCGGGAGGACCAATAAGGAATATTTTTTTCTAATGGGACCTAAAATTTCTCACTGATGAAATACAGATCTCCGAAGTCTCATGAGTTAAGTCAATACACACCATTCATGAAAAGATACTATTAATCTATTTTATCTTTTTGAGGTTTTTTGATACAAATTTACCTCAAAGATTTCAGAGATTTTTCTTTTCTCTTTTACAGAACTAAAAACTGAAACCTCTTTACATTTCATCTTCTCTCCCACTTTTCTTTGAAGACCCACCTACCTCATCTGAGCACCCGCATACAGGTTATAACTGAAGAACTATTTCATGCAGAAATAAATTTAACCTTTCAACGGTTATCATCTAGGTTTTTCCCCTCTCCTTCACTGTCCAGTGACAGCTAACTTCAGTCTAATCAGACATTTAACTTTTCTCTCCGAAACACTGACCCCAAGAAGACCGACTTAAACCTCAGAACTTGTATTTTTAACTCAGTGACACTCTGTCTTTTCCTCCCATTTCCACACTAGCCCCTGTCCTCCAATTACCTCAGTTAAAATAAAATCTCCACTTACACACATACACGGACGCAGGCTGTATCCAGAACAGGATGCTCTCGGATGTTGAACGCCAACTTTCTCTCTTCCCCCATCCCCCCCTCCCTCTTTGCTTAAAGGGCAGCAATAGAACCAGTCACCTTGGAAACAAACATCACCCAGTGTTTGCAGAACAAACAATGGTACCTTTTCAGCCAGTACCAGGCAGGCAGGGCAAGGGGCAGCCAGGCAATTCTGGGCCGTCCAGGAGAGTTCACATATTGCATTCATTCAGTGCACCAGAAAGGGAGTCCGGTCCTACGAATGAAGGGCTCGCCAATGTGGGAACCTTTGGCTAGAAACCACACGTGAAGTGAGGCTTGGAGTCAAACAAGGCTCCCTCTGGTTCGAGAAAAACCCTTTTCATGCTTTTGGGAATTGTTTTACATGGTCCACCAACAGGGTAAGCTATCCTTTTGTCACTGAGGATTACATTATTCAGCAGCCACGAAGAAGTTGCTTAAAAAAAAAAAAAGGCAGGTTCCATCTGATTCCTCCCACAAATCATCATCATGCCATTTCTCCTTTAAAATGCCACTAGGTATATTGCTTCTTAAAATGTCTACACTGCCTGGGACTTACACTTACGAATCTCTGGTACTGATAAAGCTAGTAAAGCTAGAACGTTAAGTGTCAATCCAGAACACTTTTTTAAACATTGCCATCCAGATACAGAAATCTGTAAGGACTCCGGATAAAGATAACTTCTTTTTGACCTTGGATAGCAATAATTATTAAATAATTATTAAACCTTCCTTCACAGCAGACTTACAAAAGCTAATCATTTGGGGTAGCTCACAACTTGGGAGGAGGGTGGATTCTGTTGTTCCTGTTTTTAAAAAAGCTCAACTGGGTAGCTAATTAAAAAATTATATGTGTTCTTTAGATCCTTTGGAATGAAATTTTTTAAATGTTCAATGCAAGTAACAGTTTCCTCCTTATTTTGGGTGTGTGCCGAAGTTTTCCTTCCCACCAATTAAGGGAGAAGGCTGGGCCTAACTGAATTATTTGGACAGGAGCTTGATGTCAGTTAAATACCACAGTAACTGGCATTTTCTATCACCTCTAGACTAAGGGACAAATGCCTAATTAACATGGACCAACATGCAGCTTAAACTGGAAAAGTGCCTGTCCTTTCTCCTTCCTTTCTTGTTTTCTCAAAGATTTAGGTCTTTAACATCCTGGAGTTAAAGTGCACAAAGGGTGTCTAATGCCATCTGACTGAGGTGTGAAAGTCTAATTAACTAATGCTTTTTTGCAGCGACAGTAAATCAGTTAGCATTATTAATCTTCCTGACTGGGCATGAGTGAGTTCGGAGGCTACTGAAAAGGAGCTAAACGGTTAGCCTGGGTACCCTTGAAAATGAAAAGGAACTCTGAAAGTGATGCCCAGGGACACCGAAAACTACGGAGAAATACTCTGAAATCCAAGCGTGCCTGCGGGGCCTAGCACCAGGCAGCTCCCCTGCAGGCTGAGGCTGAGCTCCCGGGCAGGGACAGCAAGAGGAAGAGGAGGAGTCAGGCAGCACAGCACGCAGGGACTCTTCTCCCATCGGTTCCTTCCAGCACTGCCCGGCCCTCCACGCCTTCATTTAAATACCGCACCTTCCCAAGTGATTTTTCTAGTAGAGCAAACAAAAATTATTACCTGGAATAGTTCGTGCAAACGACTGCAACAGTTCAGCCAGTTAGGCTAGTTTCAAAGTCGTCAGTAAAACAACAATTTTCGCAGCAATTTGGCTGCTTAGTTTGCTTGGCCTAGGTACTCAGCGTGCAAAAAAACGTACACGAATTTCACACTCACGTTAGCAAGCCATAAATTTATCAAATGCATTCCCTGAATGCCAAAAACCTGAAACAGAAAAAAGTCAACAGCCAAACAGCTTCTGAACCATGGCTGTGTGTACCAGGACAATGGAAGTAAATGCCAGCAGCTCCTCCACCCTCTGCTCAGGATTCCAACCCCCTGTGCCCCTCCCCGCACCCCCGGAGGCAGGGGAGGCCAGCAGGGGACCTGGGCACCCCTGTTCTTCCCTGTGCCCTTCTCTCCTCCTCCTCCTCCAAGGCCTTCCTCGGGAAGCCTGCTGACAGCACTGCCCACCTCCTGACTCTGAATGTGACGAGTCAGCTCCGGGCTTTGGGGAAGGAACTCCCAGAGAGAGCTACGCGGCTCTGGACCCTGGACCCCGAGGAGCGGCCAGACCCAGGGTGATGACCCCACGCAGGGCAGCTTCCTCCATCTTCTCGAACAACATCTCAGCCGGGCAGAGTTGAGAAAGGAAGTGGGAGGAGAAGCCCAGGTGCCGAGGTGGCTTTACCTTTCCCCCTCCTCATTATTTCTGCCAAGTTTCTGTTTCACTGCCCCTGGCCGCGTTCTCTTTTATGTGCAGTTCTCAGGGAAACACACACAGCCCCTTCCAAGCCACCTGAAACCCTGAGCCTTCAGAACCCCATCTGTCTTCGGGCACTGTTGTCTATGCACTGTTTATGGATGCAGACTGCTGTTTACCACTCTTTCTCCCGTTTACAAAGTGACGGAAGCTCAGAGAAACTTCACTCGTGTATTCCTAAGCTTATATGCTCATAAGCCAGCTTCAAATAACACAGTAGCAAAAGCTCACCTCGTTACTATTATCTCCATATTCTGTAGTCATGGGGGGACCCCCGTGAGGTCAGTGTCTGTTAGAAGTCACCATCGCCGTGGATCCAGGCACAAGAACCTCACGCAGCTGCATGAACCAGCAGGAAGAGGAGTTGTTCCCACGGCACAGAAGCCACCACTCCCACCTGGTCCACTTCGCGAAGTCCCTCTCCCTGCCTGCATTGTAAATACTCAGCATGTGCAGAAAATCCAGACAACATGGTCTTTTCAGGGCACTGGCTTCCCAAACCCCGCTCTTGCCCAGTTCCACTTAGCGGTCACTTAGTGTTCAGCCGTTCTGCCCAGAAACTGCTCAAGGCTCCCTCCAGCCAACTGGACAAGGCTGCGAAAGCTGGGAAATCAGGATCATATGGATGTTTTTGAGAGTACACAGATACTGCCTAAACCAACACCTGCTCTCAGCCGACTCAGAAAAAAGTGGAATGCTGGGATGCTCTCCTGGCAGACAGCACACAGACCTCAGGAATGAGGCAGCTGCCTGACCCCCCGCAACCAGGGGAGTCAAGCAGCACAAGGACTTTGCTGGCAGAACCCAAGAAGAGCCACGGGGGGGCCTCTCTGCTGAATAATAAGGAAGATGCTAGCACCCCCAGTTTTAAAAATGGAAAGCAAGACCACAGGAGGAGGAGATAAGGTTCTGGAGGTAGGTTTCACTCCACTAGCCAGTCTTTTGGTGCCTGAAAGCAGCTTGTAGTTTTTCCTTTAAATGGAAGGACAATAGCTTTTGTCTTCACTAAGGTTTTCGTTTGCTTTTACTGATTGAAAAGAAAGAAAGAAAATACCGCCTGGGGCATCACTGTGTAACCTAAGACTATGATAACAAGAAACATTTTACCCATTTCAGAGAAGGAAAAACCAAGGCACAAAGTATATCTTTGCATTAAGCACAATCAAGGTTGGGCTTGGGTGTAGGGCCCTGGGCTCTCTGTTAACAAACCCTGCTGCTCTAATAGATTACAGCAGATTCATTAAAAGGGCCACGGGAGAAGCCATGCTTCTGCCAACCTGGCTGATTCAATTCACTTCTCCAAATCAATTCTTTTCCTTTGGAAACTCTTCACGGCGGGAGGGAACTAGGTGAGCATTATTAGCCTGCAAGTGCATGAAGACACTGCTGCTATAGGAAATACAAATGCCACTAAAATCTTAACCAGTTTCTTATCAGAGCTTTCCAACAGAGTTTAAAGATATGATTGAAATCATACCTGGCCTGGATATTTTTTTTACATTTAAAGAAATCCTTGTTGTGAGAAGATGGGAATGTCCAGATCACTTGCCATTGATCAAAGTAAAATGCTCAATAAAACAACCACAGGTAAATGGTATGTAGTGGTTTTTCCTCAGTGACTCTCACTTGTTTGGGTCACACACAGTCGAGAAAATAAACAGGCACATTGTGCCAGGTCAGCATTTTCCTCTTTAAAATAAACCAGTTTCTGAGTACCCATGTGTTCATCCTGTACGGTGCAAATCTGAATCCTAGATTGGCCTTTCACTTAACTGAGGAAATATCTTTCTTCTCCTTACTTGCTGAGTGTCCAGGGCTTTCAAGATAACTAAAACATTAATAGCCTCTGACCCCAGCCCCCAGAAATTACACCAAAACAATGTGATTCTCACGTCAAAGAATACTTGAAAACACCAAAAAGATTCATCTTACCAAAATTAAATTTTGATAGCTATGGTATCTTTTAAGGTATCTACCCAAAAATGAGCTTTTTACTACCTACAAATGTAATAAATCCTACTCTTTTAACAGGTGTATGTATGTATAGAAAATCATCTACGGAGACCAACGCTGTGGCACAGTGGGTAAAGCCACCACCTGCAGTGCTGGCATCCACTATGGGCACCAGTTCAAGTCCCGGCTGCTCCACTTCTCATCCAGCTCTCTGCCATGGCCTGGGAGAGCGGTATAGGATGGCTCAGGTCCTTGGGCTCCTTTACCCATGTGGGAGACCCAGAAGACACTCCTGGCTTCAGGTCGGCGCAGCTCTGGCCGTTATGGCCATTTGGGGAGTGAACCAGCAGATGGGAGACCTCCCTAACTCTGCCTTTCAAATGGATAAATAAAGGAGGGAGGGGGGAAGGGAGGGAGGGAGGTTAGAAAGAGAAAGAAAAAAGGCGGGGGGGGGGTGAGGATCATCTAGCAGGAGATATAAAGAGCAGTAATGGTTATCTCTGCGACTAAGTTTTTTAAGGTTTTTTTTTTCCATTTCACCTTACTAAACTTTTTTTTCTTTTAATTTTGAATTTGCTTGCAATGAATATTAGACGTGTGCAGAAAAATAATGAAGAGCTTAATGGGAAAAATAATTATTAATCCTTAGGAATATTTCTTTGTACTCGCTGAGTAACAGGACAACAGGTTGTTTTGATTTCCATCCTATTCCTTCCTGTTACTTACAGTGAATAAGAAGATTTTATAAGGAGAAAAGATGTTTAAACAGTAGTGTGATTTTGATTTACTGGCTCTTGGTGGATTACTGATCTAATCTGCTCACTTAACATCATAGCAGGAATTACTGTGGCTCCACCACACCACCGTTCAGACAAGCCCACTGCGGACAGAACTCCAGGCTCCGGCACTTGGCAGGGCGTGCTGGAACCCAGGAAGATCTGACACACCCAGCCTACCCCTGCACCTCTAGAGGCCTCATTTTCCTCACCTGTAAATTAAGGGGGTGTAAGCAGAGTAAACGGACCACAATCCGGAGGCCCTGTCCCAGGCAATGCTCGGTGATTGTAAACAGAGAAGATGCAAATACAGTTTAATCAAATCTTGCCCGTCCTAACCACTTGGTCCACTCACCCTGGATAAATTTAAATTGATTTCACCACTGTATCATCTGATAGATAGTGGCACAAAGATAAGAACATTAACTAAACCTATTGTGTTCAAAGTGTCAGTAGCTGGGGCCTGCGTTGTGGTGCAGGCCTGCTGATTGCCACGCCAGCATCCCATATGGGCACCGGTTCAAGTCCTGGCTGTTCCTCTTCCGATCCAGCTCCCTGCTAATGCACCTGGGAAAGCAGCAGAAGATGGCCCAAGTGCTTGGGCCTCTGCACCCACGTGGGAGACCTGGATGAAGCTCCTGGCTCCTGACTTCAGCGTGGTCCAGCCCCAGCAGTTGTAGCCATCTGAGGAGTGAACCAGAGGATGGAAAAATCTCCCTCTCTCTGCAACTCTTTCAAATAAATAAATAGATATTTTTTAAAAAGTTATTTGAAAAAAAATGTAAGTTTCAGTGGTTGGCAAGTTTTCAACTTAGTAATTTCTATGGCAGCCCTGCCCAAAATGAAGGCACAAGCAGAGGGGGCTCCAAACACACCAGGACTAATGGAATGTTTCCACGCCCTGTGATCCCATCACATACATGTGACTACTCCCGTTTCACATGTGCAAAACCAGATCTGTGGTTAAAAACGATCTGCAGTGTGAAGGGGCAAGTCAAGGGCAAGTCACCCCATTCCTCTCTGCGAGTCCCTTGCAAACAGGGGAAACACTCCTGCCTTGGTGGCTCCTTCCATGAACAAAACACCGAGAAAGGCCCAAAGGCTATTGTGCAGGTTTTACTCCAGCATGAAGATGGCAAAACAGACTTTCCTAGGTTTTCTTAGAGCACATGCCAAAAACTTAGTGGGTGCTTGATAAACATTAGCTCCCTCTCCCTTTAAAGAAGGAAAAAGCATCAGAGAGCACACCCAATAGACGCCACCAGCGTTGTCGGCCCAAATGAGAAGTTTTTACTCAATAAACGGATGCACAAGAATAAAAAAAAAAAGGAAGAGCACTTGTACTGCAGCAACTGGCTAGGGTTTAGATTAGGATTCCCTCACCAGCCGGAGGGACCTGGGGCGAGTTATTTAAACTGTGAAGCCTCAACTTTCTCATCTGTCCAGTGGAAATGACAACCACCTACGGTCAGCGTAAGGCTTCCATGGGGTGAAGTGCGAACGCAGCGGGGCACAGTGCCTGTCTGTGAAGGGTGCCGGGGGTGCAGGACCACTTCCCCAGGAAGCACCTGCCACACAAGGGTAGCCGTGCCAACCTGCTGGGGTCGTGAGGACCCCGCGGAGAGCACAGACACTCAGGATGGCCCATAGTTGCTTCCTAAAATAACTATGAACCACAGTGAGCGAGGAGGTGGGCAGGGATGGCGTCTTGCCCTGTGGACGGGACACAGCACAGAAGCAAGCTGGGAAAAAGCCATCCTGGGAAGAGTGCCGCGCTCCCAGCACTGGGCACCAGGCAGAGCTCACCCCCGGAGCCGGATCAGATGCAGGTGGTTGTGAGATGACAAACGCAACCGAATCTGAGTCACCAGGGCTGACGTCCGTGGTGTGTGGATTAGGCTGGCCCTGGCTCCAGCTGCCTCCGTTTCAGGCGCTTCCAGCTTTACCAGAGGGCTGAGGGCGCGCAGGAGAGGAATAGAAAGGGATTTACTACTACTTTGCAGGTTTTTAGAGGAAGGAGTGTTGGCTGTGGAGGATCAAGATGATCTGAGGGAATTATGAGTCCAAGTCATACATCCAGACCTGCTCCTGCCCTCGCTCAGGGCAGGTGAGGGCACCCCTTCTCTGTGTGACCCCAAAACCGGGCTGGGAAGCAGGGCCAGTGGATGGGCTCAGGTGCCGTGGCAGGGACACCTGGGGTGCAGGCAGGCCTACGGCACGGTGGGCCAGGTGTCCCCACTAGCCACCAGCTGTCCTCAATACACTCTTCTAAGGACCCAGGCTCACGGGAAAGCCCTGGGCTCCGCTTGTGGGACAGCAGAGACATTCACATGCAGGCCCATCTCCCAACGTGACAAAAGGGCCAACACTCAAAAAAAGCAGCCCACCAGACCAAACGGCTTTGAACCAAAGCTTCCGGCCCAGGGCTCCCTGACGCCCGGCCTCACCCGTCTCACAACAGGACCTTATCCCCGTCCCAGTCTGTAACTGCGAAGTCAAATATTAAGCCAGAAGATGTGATTCAGCTTTTCAGCAAGTCCGTGGCTGTTAGGAAACACAGCTTCCCTGTGTGCACACCTCGGCCCCGTGGCTTTCTGCAGCCGGAGAGCCCGCGTGGCTCGTCCTGGACCAGCTGCCGGGGTGAGCCCTGCACCGCCCGTCTCAGGCAGGGGCAGAGCAAGGGAGCCCCGGCTGGCACCCCACGCACGGCCGCCCAAACCTTGCTCCCTGGTGGATGGCTTCCAGGCCTCAGCAGGCCACCCTGCATTCCTCTGCTCCAAAGCCTAGGACTCCCTACCAACTTGGGGAAGGAAAGGTCGAATGCTGTCCCGCCCCACCCAGCCCCACCTAGCCCTCCAACCCTATCATCTTCCAGTACACCATCCCCAACCCCAAATTACACCCTGAACTCCAGCTGGGACCTCAGCCCTGTCTGTGCTTCTCCTGGAAGCACACAGCCAGGCCCCAGAGCTTCCCGGAGCCTGGGCCTTCCCCGGGGGCCTTGGCTCAGGGTCCACAGGGCACTGCGGATTCCTTTCCTTACACGTAAACCTCCCAAAGGCAAGAGCCCCAGGCACCACCAGGCCCGAGCCAGAGTGTCTCAAACACGCGGCTCCTCCGCGAAGGGCATTTCAACTCCAGATGAGGTGCGTCGTGGAGCAGTGGGCTGTCACTCGGGACACCTGCGTCCTGCTTCGGGACTGCCAGCTACTCTGGTTCTGATGCAGCTTCCTGCTGACGCCTCCCAGGAGGCAGCAGAGGACGGCTCAAGTTCTTGGGTTCCTGCCATCCCTGTGGGAGGGTCTGATAGAGTTCCTGGCTCCTGGCTTTGGCCTGGCCCAGTCCTCGCGGTTATGGGCATTTGGGGAGTAAACCAACGGACAAAACATAGGTCTGCTTGTCTGTCTCTCTCTCTACTACATGAAAATAGACATTTAACCATTTTTGAAGACTAGCGTTACGCTCACATCTAAGCAAACTGACAAGAATCAAGACAAATTAATCAATGGTGGGAACTTTCCAGGCACCAAGACAGACAAGACTGGGAATGGAGCACAAAGCTTCCGGGCGGCCGCCCGCCCGTCGTGAGCTCCAGCACCTCAAGTCTAGGAACACCTGCAAGCTCACCCTCTTCACAAGGGGAAAACCAGCTGCTACACCTCATCACACTGCTGTGACTGTCACACCCAGACACACACCATCCCCTGTGGCCGTGCCTGCCAAGGGAACCGCTGAGTAGTGCTCACGGAGCCCACACTCGAACCCCGCTTCCTCTGGCACAAGTCCAGCTCCGACGAAGAGAACACGTTCAAAAACAAAATGGGAAAGGTTGCCAACCTGTAAAATCATGACATACAGGTAATTCTGGGTGAGGCAAACAACTCACTGGAAGCTCCGTGTGCCATCCATCCAACCCACCAAATCCACAGGGTGCCTAGCTAGCTCCCTCAGCCCTCTCAGCCAGCTCCCTAGGTCCCTAAGCCAGGCCTCTAAAGGAATTAATATAGCCTCCCCTGAGGACGGAGGGCTCCGAAACCCTCAGAGTACAGAGTAACACTCTGTCTCTGCCGTAATTACTAAACCACTAATTGTCCTTGGGACCTACTATCTGCCTTCGCCTCCACTCCAACTTTTTTAAGCTGTATTTTATATATTTGAAAGGCAGAGTTACAGAAAGAGAGGGAGAGAGAGACCCTCTATCCACTGGTTCACTCCTCAAATGGCTGTGATGGCTGGGGCTGCGCCAGATCAAAGCCAGTAGCCTCTTCCCGGTCTCCTATGTGGGTGCAGGGGCCCAAAACCTTCACTGCTTTCCCAGGCACACTGGCAGGGAGCTGGATTGGAAGTGGAGCAGCTGGGACCCACATGGGACGCGGGTGTCACAGGTGGCAGCTTTACCAGTTAGGCCACAGCACCGGCCCCCTCCAAGGGTCAACTGGTGCTTCAGGAAGCAGCCCATGTCCCCTGGGCTGCATGGAGGAAACGATTCCATTAGAGGACAGCAGACCCCAAGTCCTCCTGCACTCTGGGGAGCACCTATCACCTGCTCCGCTTCGTTTTTCTCAAGGGTTAGCAGCGTTCTCTTGGAACACACGCGCCAGGCTTCAGGGCAGCGGAGGGCTCACAGC